CTGTTATTACGTTATTGGCTTCTACAGGCATACACTTGCTTTTTTAGTGTTTGAGCCCAGAAAAACAAAACAGCTCCCAAAGGAGAAGACTTTGAGCTACCTCCACTCCTACTTCTTAGCCTTAGCAATCCTCCGTCCTGCTGTTGGCCACCAGCCGTCACTCCTGGCCTCCCCTCCCTGATCAACCTTCTGTTAGCCAGTTCAGGCAGCTCAACTTTGAAACACACCGCAACAACATTATTTTAAATAAAACTACTATTATTCAGACAGGTTGAGCCCAGCGGTGGATTTTTTTTAAACTTACAGCGTCCACCGCTGCAGAGTGAATCTAAACCTGCAGCCACCGAGCAACACAAGCATCCTGTCGGTTAATGAATTCCTCCCAGTGCTTCTCACGACCGCTGTGACCCTTAATAGGCAGCAATCATAGAAAACACAGATATAGTGTGCACATTTTCATGCACTAATTTCCAGCTAAACATGTACATCTTCATGTTATGTGGGAGGATGAAGTGATTTTATCTGTGGCCGGCTGCTCTCTGAGTGTTCAGGTTTTCTCGCAGTAAAGTCGTAGTTTGCTCACATGCACGCTGACTCCTCGGTTTGAATCCTGTTTCTTTCTTACATGCAAACAGCTGCTCACATACAAGCGTGCGTGCATCCACCTCCTCCACGTGCAATTTGAAAGTAATTTTTTTCAACGCTCTTTTAAAATAACACCTCCTGCATGTGAATGTACTGCCTCCTCAGCGGCCTTCCTGCGTTTCGTTCCACTTCACATCCAGCCCAGTGTGAATTATATAAGTGATGCTATGACTTGATGTTTCTGTGCGCGATTGACAACTAATCTCCCCACCAGCAATCCCCTCGCTCGGGCCACAGGCGACTAATGAGATGCCGTTTTACATTTTAATAAATAAAAAAAAAGCAAAAAAAAAAAAAAAACCCCAACAGCTCGTTGGCGCCCAGGGATGTCCTTTTCCATTACAGCTCGCCCTCTGCAGCGGGCAGATAGGATTCTGAATGAACTTTAATGATTTTCCAGCTAACCACTTTCATGAAGTGTTTTATTTCAAACCCCTGGAGGCTTTCTGATATATTTTCGAATCCCTTTCGCAATTTCTACCGCCAAACCTCGTGGTGTAATTGAACAGCCATCGTCCTTTATTCTCTGAGGCCGACTGCGATGACGAAACCTACATTTTGGCGGCATTAGAGCGGCGCAGAGAAGCCGGTTTACTAAACTGTGTGTGTGCGGTTTGAGTGTGTTGTGTGTATTTTATCCCATTTTGGGGACTTATCGGCCATCTGGGCACAAACATCAACTCCCCACATGGTTAATGATTAATTTGGGGGTTAAGGCTTGCTTTTAAGGTTACAGTAAGAATTATGGCTAGATTAGGGCAAAGGTTGGAGTTAGGCATGTAGCGGATATGGCTAAGCCTCCGGGGAACGATTGTAAGTAAGTACCGAGCCCTCGCAGAGTGGATGCTTTTGGAAATGTTGTTGTGCGGCGCTTGGATGGAGGATGAAGGGGACAGGGAGTCGGGTAATCTGCTGGGTGGGAGTCGGGGTGTCTGGATCCATTAAGAAGGAGGCAGGAGGTGGGGTGAAGCAAGGAGAGGGGTGTCACATTCAGCACCCGACTGACCTGCTCGGAAAGCTGCTTGCCTCTGAGGAAGAAGCCCAGCAGGCAGCCGATGACCACGGCCAGCACCGACAGGATGAGCAGCCCGTTCTGCTTGCAGACGTTCTTCACCCGCCCCCACACTTCGTCCAGAGCCACCGCCATCCTCCTCCCTGTGTCCCGGTCCTGACTGCAACTTCGCGACCCCCCTCGGCTCGGTAAACCCACCAGAGCAAGCCCCTCCGCCCTTTTTGTTTTTTTTTTTTGTTTTAAAAACCACCTATTCAGCCATGTAGAGCCAGCAGAGAGCCAACAGCTGCCACCGCGCTGGAGGGAACCCAAGGGCGTGGACGCGGCAGGTGGGAGGAAACAGGCAGGCTGGTGGTGGAGAAGTTTTTCTGAGAGAGAATTTAAAAAAAAAAAAAAAAAAAAGTA